GTTTTTATAATACTTGCTTTTAAATTAAGAAATTGAGTAATATATAGTACTAAAATTTGAATTATGATTTACTGTTTGATACCAAACTTATTGACATAAATGCATGAAATAGTAGTTAAATAAAATTTTTAATGAGAGTCAACAAATGAGACGACATGGCCTTTCATCCGTGACCCGTCTCGAAAGGATTAAGATTGTTAAGAGAATTGATTGTGTTGATACATATTTTTTTCAAATTTAATGATGAGAATGGTAAGACTAGAGGAAACATAAATTTTGGCAGGGAAGAAGTCATCTTCAGCTAAGACAGTTTTATTTTTCTAACAGCGTGGTTGGCCTCTGGAACGAGTTGCCTTAAGATGTGGTGGATACAGAACTTTTATTTGAGGGAAAGCTTGATAAATTTGACTTCATACTTTTCTTTGGTATTATCTTGAACATCCATGTTTTGAATTTATTAATTAATTATGTGAGATTTGAGATAGTATACAAAACTTAAATTTCATAAAGTTTAACTCTTTCTTTCACATAGAACAAGAAAAATTGTCTTCTGCTTACCCATTTTGAATTCATAAATGATGGTAACTTCTACTTTGTCCTGTGATGGTGACAATGTTACTAATACAGGACCTGTGGCTACTGCAGCCTCGATGTCTGTGGAGGATGTGACAGCCATTGTTTATTGAGTTGTGGGTTTCCTCTTGCAAATCTGTCCATTTGGCTGATGTTCCTTCTTCTCTGTTTGAACATGACCATGATGATGATTTTGACCAGCTCTTTCCCCCACCAGGGTTTACTCTAGGTAGTGCTTTATCAGTGGAGGAAAATTCTCACCATTCTAATTTCTTACTTGACATGATTTCACAGGTGTGTCTTTCAATTGCTCCCCATGAAGCCATACCCAAGATTACTTTGCCTACCTTCCTTCTCTGGACTCGTTTCTTGAACGACTGAGGACCCATACTTGGATGCTTCATCCTTCTTGCCTACTTGACTGTTTTTGTTCTGACTTACAGCCATTCTTCATTTCTGTTCCATGATTCCCAGTCTTTGGTATGACCTATTATCTCTCAACCAGTTTCTAGTTGCCCCACAGTCCCAAATGAAGGTTTTTTTCACCCAATCTGTAAATGACCAAGGTTGACATGTTGAACACTTTAGTACATTACAATTGCCCCATCCTCCAGATAGTTTCTTCCAGCTCTGTGCTCTTTTCTTTGGCATTGTGTCTGTTCTTTACATCATCAGTCAAGTCATGGGGGTAACTGCCTACCATACTCTTTGGTTGCGGCTGAGGTTCCATTATTACGTGGATGATTGGCTTCTCCTCACCCCTTTTTGAGAGGACTTCTCTCACACCTCTGTTTTTCTTCAGGAGTCTGTTCAGCTGGGCTGACTAGTCAAGTATTCCAAGTATTTTCTCATGCCTACTCAATATTTGGTACATCTGGGCATGCTTTTCCACTCTCATCTTAGTCAGGCTCAGTTTTTGTCTCTTCACATACAAGCAATAGAATATCAGGTTACCAAGATTTGTGTTTTTCATTTATACCCTGCATGCAAGGTTTTTTACACTTTTGGCTGTACACACATGCACTTTCTACAGTGGACATTGTGAGACCAGCTGAACCTTTCTTTGGATCTGCTGTCCTTGAAAGTGCACCTCTCCTCTTCATGAGGATTTGTTTTGGTGGCTTGTCTGTGCCAATATCATTATGGAAATCCCCTTGCCACCCCAACCAGGTCTCTATCTTTTTCCAGATGCTTCTGTGTTGGGCTGGGGCATGTCTCTGAACAACAACATGACATTGGGTGTGTGTGTGTGTGTGTGGGCTCTAGAAGAACACTCATGCTACATCGACATGCACAAACTTCTTGCAGTTCATTGGGCATGTTCCTGTTTCTCCTCTCCTATTCTTTATACCATCTTTCTCTGAAGACATACTTCCTTTTCTTCTTGCCTGTGGTTGTTCTTGTTTGAATATATATGCCTTTGATACTTCCTGACATTCTATTATTCTTATCTACTTCTCTACCCAGACCAAACTTTTCTTTCTAAGACATTGGCTGCTTGGGCAGGTGATCATTCTCTCACATCTCTCACCTCTATGCTCGTTTTAAAGCTGGATCATCTTCTGTGTCTAGTTTGGGCTGTGGAGTGTTATATGGCATGAACATCTGCTTTTCAGAATTCCTCTCATTATTTATTTCTACCTTGGGATCCCTCTTCAACCAGAAATCTTTCGCCTTCTCTCCTTACCGAATGGGTCTGCCAGCTCCTTCAGTTGGTGTATTCTTCCCTATTTATTGATGCTTGCAGATTTTTGTATATTTTGTTGCATCAAATGTGTCACCTTTCTAACTCTTTTGGTTCACATTTTCTCCCAACCTTGGATGAAATCATTCATGCAGATAAATCTGCTCATGTTCATTGCCCATTATTTTCATCATTTAGCTGTTTCATTTCCTGCAAGATTTTGACTCCCTCTAATCACTATCTTTCAATATACATGCTGCCTTTGAAGAGGGTAAGTACATTTTCCTTTTTATCACCCTCTTCCCTTTTATATGATCCCACCAGGTGACTGATGTTGCCTGTCATGCTATGCTTATTTTCCCAAATCCTCATTGGGCCAGGTGTAACAGAAAACACTCCAGTGGCTCTATCAATCAGTGCTCACTGTCAAGGTGGAGTGGTTTTACTCCATTGCCCAATCAAGTCCAAACTATTCCATTGACTATCAGGGGAAAAGTTGGCACCAAGAAAGTGACTGCCCACTGTTTTGGCTATTGCTTTCTGGTTTTTCAAAATAGTGTTTCGTAGTCACCCATTGCAATGTCTTCAGTAAAAGACCTTTTTGTCAGGCACCTAATGAGGATTCAGGTCAACCCCTTATTCAAGTGAAACATGGTAGATCCTTGCTGCTTAACAGTTCATAATCGCTTAGTTGGTGGACCTTGGAAAGTTCTTCACTGACTGTATACAGCACAATATGATGGGAAGTAAGGCCGTGATGCCATTGTCTATGTACTGCAGGTCACCCTTCAAACAGCTAGTATGTCTTCCTCCTGCAGTAGGATGGTTCATCACCCCCATCTCTGTCTATCCCGTTGAGTCAAAGTGAGACTCACACAGTAAAGTTCTACCCATCAATGTGACACTTGGGACTCTTGTCTTTCCTCCTCTTCCTTCTATGGAGTCCCTGCCAATGGGTGTTACACTTCATGGGCTTTCCTTTCATGCAGTTTTGGAATGGAGCTCGTATTGGTTTAATGTTTGCACTGGCTCCTTCACCATTTCAATATGGGATTCTGACTATTCTGTGTGAAGAGGTGAGGTATTGTCTCAGAAGTTAGCATATTCCTTATTTGAAAATGTATTTCCGATAACATATTCTCCTCGTCACATCATCCCACACTTAAGGAGTCTTCCCTGTAGTCAACAATTCAAAATTAGCAACAGTGGCTGATAACCTTTCTTACCATAAGAAAGACAGAGCAAGCATGTTTGGCAGAAGTAGGAATCAAACGTGACACTTTTAATTAAAATAAGAGCTGATTTGCAGATGTTACTATAACATAAGGGCCTACCTTGGTCAGTTTTAATTATTTTGTACTCAATTATTCAAGTAAACCAAAACATTTTTACATGGAATATTACAATATATAGGCATATACTGTTTTCAACATGCTTTTATTAATATAGGAATTATAAAAATTTTTGTTTAATTACTTGTTATGTATTTTTGTTGTAAACACATGGTCTAGAAAACTGTTGATGTTGTCTTGTTTTTTAAAGCACATAGTATCTACTCTGCCTGAGATGTTGTGGTACATCAGTGTTGAAAGGGTCAGCAACTACACCATCCTTTACTGGCCAAGTTGATGATATATGTATGCCACAGTCAACAAATACTGTTAGAGAATGACCAGGTGGCACTGTCATAAACACAGAGAAAATACTATTTTCTGTATCAGTATGGAACCTTGGTTCTACAGAGTTTATTTGGTTTTCATTGTGATTGGTTTGTGGAGATTTATCTTGAGGGATGAAAGCTGGTGATCTAATTACTGATCCAATAGAAGCAGTTTTTCACTTGTGTATACAGGTATGCACACTATTTTTTACTGTATCTATATAAAAAATGTTTTCATTTTTATTCAAACATGTTCAATCTATTTATTCTCAGGCATCTTAAACTCAGTTAAGTTTTCAGGTTCAGCTTATTCTGAGTATCTTTTCCATCCTGCTGTTATTAAACAGACCTATCTAATACTTGTGTGGAAATCATTTCTCTTGAGAATTCCACAATATTAATAAAAGCATATCATATTTATTGTTACGCAACCATATAGTTATTGTTTATTTCAAGTTGTCATGTACTTTAGAAACAACATTTTAATATAGAGGAGGATGTAATTAGAAATGTACATGTGCAAGAGTACTGAAGTATTAACAAGCAAAACAGTTTTTACAGAAACCTTTCCTTATATACTGAGAGTCATGGTCCTAATGTAAGGAAAGGTAGTCTCCAAACATTTTTAAATGTGTGAGTTATTTAAATGAAAATTATTTTCATGAAGCCAAAGAGGTTTTTGTTAGTGAATGTAGCTGAAATTATGGTTTAACAAATGTCATTTTCAAAATAGATGAATAAGGAGATTAACAACAAAAAATACCTAGATTTCAATAATATTAAATCTTCAAGTAGACCAGTGGCACTTTTCAATCTGTCTTGGTGAAAGTGCATCAGAATTAAGAAAATTACTCTCATCAAAAGCAGGAGAATGTATACAATTAATCCCGAACTCAAGAGCTTTCAGGACCTAAGGCAAGTCCTAGCTTGACCCTAGCCATAATGGGTGCACCTTGTGGTGTATGTTCTCTTGCTTCACTGGTTAAATAAGCTTTGGGCTTCTCCACTTTCAAATATTTTTGCCTTTTATATCTCTGTTTATCAAAGTTAAAAAAGATATAGTTAAGAAAAAACTGTTCTCCAGGCTCATAGGTATTATTAAATTATCTTGGCTCAAAACATTAATTTTGACATGAAGAGCTTTTATAATTATAGTAACTTCTAAAAAAAATCAAGAATTTTTTTAAAGTTCAAGTTATATTAAATAACATTATGTCATATAAAAATGTAGAAAATTTCTTGAAAATAAATGCCAGTTTTAAAGAAACTTACCCTAAAATTTTGAAGAAGCTTAGCATAGAATAAGTGTCTTGTCACTGTCGAAAAAGTCTTGTTACTGGAAAATACCTTATGATTATAATTTTAGGTATTGTTTAGAAAAGTATATATATATATATAGTTATCATGGTTCTAGAAAAAGGAATCTTTTTTTAAGACGTTGCATTTTATTAAATGAAGGTACCATTGTTGATGTCATATGTCTTAAATTTCAAGTAGTCTTTGACCAAATTTTAAAAACAAAATAAAATGAATGCATGTATAAAAATTATATTTTTGGAAGTGTTGTAACATTTAAGAAATGAATATAAAATAGTATCTATGGAGCAAAGAAAAGGGTGTTGATAAAGGCTATTTTTGTGAGTGAGAAAATGTAACCTGTAAATAATACGTGTATGGTACTACTAAAGTAGACAGGTAATTCTATTAGTGTGTAGTGGTGCTTGTGCCAAAGACTTTACAGTTTGCCTAAAGGAATGGTCCTCCTTGAGGATCTAAGGATATGCTCCCTCAAAAAATTTTGAAATTGAAGACTATCAGATACAATATTTCCTGCATTTTCTGGCCCTTTTATCAAATAACAATAGGAACAGAACTGATAGCATGAAAAGGTAATAAATGTATGAATATGTATTATATATTTATATGTTTTAGCTTTATTTGCACTAGGAGGATTTTTAACACATTTATATATATATATACCATGACTTTGTTCCCACCATCATTCAGATGATACCTCTAAAGTAGGCGAAAGTAGTCAGTAAATTTAAAAATATTTTTTTGCATTGTATTTTATTAACTTAAGATTAGTACAGTCGTATTTTGTTACTAGTCAATGAGCAGAGAATGGACAATGGAATATATGGTCATATGACATGTTATACTTATCTCACTTCTAGATCATTCAAAAGTGGTAGAAATGACTTCAAAGTTATTTCAAAACAACTAAGGCAAAGAGAGACTCAAAAAGATTGCAGTTAAAGTGATTCTGGTGAGTTCTTCCATGAAAAAAATACTGTTAGAAAAAACATAATATAAAATACTAAAGTAGCATCCAGCATCTAATGAACCAGTGGTCACGTTAACACAAAATTCTGCATATATTACACAAAAATTGGCATACCAAACAATGTACATTTTTTTAAATACATGTTTTGGCTTTACATAATGGCAGGAGCTCTTACACTTTCCATGAAAAAAAAATCTGATAATTGAAGCCCGTTGCATTCTCTGTTTTTCACACATCTTATGGCAGCTGAGTATTGGTGAGGTCTGTAACAAATTTGTTATTATATATTTGTGTGAATATTAGTGTTTGTTTGGATTGGGTTTATATTTTGAAACATGCGTAGCTAGTGTTGGATATGTATTGCGAAACTCCCGCCTATTCTCCAAAGATTCTCGAGAGTAAGAATCAACAATATATCTATATGCGAAAATGTTTAAATGTAGCTCAGTGTTGTTATGTAATCTGAATTTTCTAGAAACCTTCCCACACCTATAAATACAACACATGCCAAGGAGAGTGTCTATTAGTAGTTTGCTATAATCAGTGTGCTATAAACTTCAAAAGCTATAACTGTGATTTTTATAACGTTTATCAATCAGAAAACTTCAGATATTTAACCAGGAACCTTTACAAAGTTTGAACATTACAAATTATTTAACTGCAGTGGATTCTCATCGGACATTAGTATTTATACAAAAACATTACCTAACTTCAACACACCAAAATTTAGCGTGTGTGGCAAAGGACAAAACTAGCTAGCTTCCCGGCAATTCGTATCTACATCAACTTGAAATTAACTCACTCATTGTGAACCCCGATAAGATATCAAGGAGGTTCCAGTCTAGAAAGAAAATTTAATATATTATGTTTGTAAATTTTTGAAACTTCTGTTTATAAATCATTGTTGGTAATAACTATTTGTAATAATTGTTATTTTAAATTGTATTTTTGTGTGTATATTAAAATGTATTTGTGTTAAAAAAGAAAAGGGTGTGTATTAATCTTGTTGGCAAATATCGTAAACTGAATATATATGTGCTTTAATTTAACTACTAAATCCAAAGTACAAGTTAACTACTAAATTTAAATTATCAGTTAACTCAGCTTCAGGCTATTTGATATTTTAATATGTAACAGGTCATATGTAGGCTGTCTGAATCAGACTGAATTGGCATCCTGTGTACATAGTTTTTATTGTCTTGTTAGTTACCATTGAGTGACCCAATTGCAATTTTTTTGTCATTCATTCATAGTACATACCATTTAAAGCCCTAACATGACTTCTGGTTACTAGTGGGGTCCATCATGGGTCTGTTTTAAAGTTTACTATTCATAATTAATTTCAGTAATTGGAGTTACATCCTAGTGGACATTATTATTTCTGAATTTGTTGATTATATAAAGATTCTAATAAGGACTGATAGAGTTGAGTATGTTCCATTTACTTAGAAAGACCAGGACAGGCCTAGTAATTTGTCCAAAATATAAAAAATGAGTTTTGAGAAGCATTATTTAATGTACTTGTGTGATATGCAGGTATATTAAATGTTTTCTACCTGCATTAGTTATATAGAAATGTTTAAAATTTCTCATTATTTAGTTTCCATGCTGTAATGGCTGCAATGTGTGATCCAGAAAGTCATTATGATTACCTTATTCTGGTTTGTTTACTTCTTTGTTCTGTATGGTAGGTAATGTATATTCTGTCCAAGAGAATACTGCAGTAACATAAAGCATACAGGTTGAAAGGATTGACACTAATATCTTTTGCTGGCCAATCTGATGTTGGCTAAATTTCATAACCGATCAGTGCTGTGAGAGGACAAAGATCACTGAAATCAAGTTTACCTGTTGTTTTTATCTATGCTTTATTTAGCTGGTTCTACTAGGAGATCTTTGAATGATGTAATACTTCAAAAATATTGTGTTTCCAATATGATACATTACCTCATCTCACATAAATAGCTATTATCGTTCAATGCTGCCCCTCTATATGCAAAACCTTTTTTGCATGCCACAAGCCTTGAGCTCCCATGTATCCCAAAATTAGCATGGTTCAACTGCATCTTGCATGCAAATCATCATGGGACAACCCTCCATCAATAATAGTGCGACACACCCTCCTGACACATGAGATTGCCTTTATTCGATTCGGACCAGGTGGTTAGGACACTCTACTGGCAATCTGAGGGTCGTGGGTTCGAAACCCCATCCCACCAAACATGCTCGCTCTTTCAGCTGTGGGGGCATTATAATGTGATGGTTAATCCCACTATTCATTGATAATAGAGTAGCCCAAGTGTTGACAGTGGGTGGTGATGACTAGCTGCCCTCCCTCTAGTCTTACACTGCTAAATTAGGGACGGCTAGTGCAGATAGCCCTCGTGTAGCTTTGCGCGAAAGCCAAAACAAACAAACAATTATTTGATTCTACTGAACTATCACTTCTTGTTTGGCAGGGCTATTGTCAAGACACTTTTTGTTTGGGCTTTTTTTTTTAATTTCATCTGAAGTGGAGGTACTTTCTATTTTTTTCTACTTCACTTTACCTGTTTTAAGTGATAACTTATCTTTATTGTACTTCACTTTTTTTTTGGTTTTCACCGAAGCTTATGTTTCCTCTACGAAAATGTTATCATTTACTTCCAGCATAATTACCTAGTCTTCAGGTGGCAGTACTCGACTGAGGAATTGTCAGCTTTTATACATTTGGAGATTGATCATCATATGAGGTGACTTTTGTCGGGCCTCAAGTTTGGTGGCCACACATTTGGGTCTGCCAACTTTGGATAGATAAGCTGTTATACTGTTACAGCTTATTAAATATTTTGATATTAATACTATTATTTGTAGTTATTTGGTTTCAATAACATGCATTTAGTAAGATTTGTATCTACTTCTTGTAAGGTTAGGGTTTTTATATTAACACTTAATGATATCCTTTTGTACTACAATATTAGTTTAGGCTTAACATGTGTCTTTGTAATTTTAGGCTTATATGTCATTCATCTTACTGGTAAATCGTTCATTAGGTTAAAGAAATTATTTCTTCAATAAATACCATTTACTAAATTTTATTGTAAATATACACATACTTAATTTTACAATATAATGACTCTTTTATTTTTGTAATTAAATATATTTTATACTTTTTACAATTAATTTCATTTTTGAGAACCCCTGTGTTCGGGATCTGCCTAACCTTCTTCCGCTATTGCTTACCTTCCTCTTCAAACTGTCAAACACATTTGGGGTGACGTCTGTTTTAACAATTTTCCTTCACCTGATTCTGTATTGGCCTTCCCAGGCCCCTACTGCAGAGTCTGCTAGGCCTCACTCTGCCAGTTTTATACATGTTTCACTGTTGCTTTTTTCCCCCCCCTCTTTTTCCAGATACGATGGTTCATGCTGGGCCTTTTTTTGTCTCTCTTTTGAGAGATTGTGTTGGCATGCCTTGCCCTCCATGGGCTTTGGTTCATTTTGCTTTAGCTTACCATCAGGCAGATTGTTTTTTCTTGCTTCTCTTCCCTTCAAATCTCTGTTGCCTGTATGGGGCACAAAATCTGTCAATCCTATCCCTTTCTCCCTAACCAAGTTTTCCAGCCTTCATCTTCCCCTATCGCCTCTCCTACTGGTATTGGCTGTCATACACCTCTTTTCTGAGGCGTTCCATCTATTTCGTAGGATACCTTCCTTCTCCTTACCTTCATGTTGGGGCAGTTGTTATCTTTGGCTCTTTCCCTATAAATGTGGCTTCTTTGCTTTTGGGATCTTCTGAGGTTGGACACTCTCTTTTACCAAATATGTTTCCCTTCCATTTCTAATAGGGACTTACGGATGGCTCTTTTCCTCCACTGGTCCATTTTTTAGCATAACGTAGGGTATATATTGATACATTCTTTTCTTTCTTTTTTGGTTGCTCGTTTGTCTGTTTGGTCATTGCATTATTTATCCATGTTTCATATTCAGCACCTTCCTGTCATTTACCTGTCCCACATCTAAGAGTTTCTCCATTAAATTGTGTATTCTCAATGCAGATTGAAGTTGTGTGATTGATCTGTCCCACCTCAATCACTTCTTTTCTCCAGGACTGAGGATGCCCATGGTCGACATTTTGTATTATTATTCCCACGTTCCTTATTTTCTAACCCTCATGGT